CACTGATTTTACCAGCCATATTTTTTAACAAGCATATAACTATCTTCTGTATCTTCTTTATCATTATATTCAATGAGTAATTAATATCCTTTTGTCTAAGTATCCTTCTATATTTTGTTTTAAAACATACATTTCTTGAATAGAAATTACTAGAACATTTTGAACATTGCTTGAACTTTTTTAAAAAAGATTTATTTATTTATGCATACAAGAACTGGGGTATAAGACAGAGGTATCGGGGGTGAGAGGATTCCCCAGAGAGAGTGGGGAGCAGAACAGGAAGACTGACTGAAATACACTGCTGAGGGGAGCAGCAGGCGAGACAGGAGAGGTCTGCTGCACCATGTGGGTCACCTCCCTGGCTGCAGAGACCTGAACTGTGAGGACAGTCATGTGGGGCCCAGGGAGGGCTGTAGGGTTGGTCCCTGAGACAACCCTGGCACAGATGTTGGTGTGAGTAGAGACACGATTGAGCCCAGTTGACAATGGTGGGGGAGGTTGGAATCAGAGGAGCCCCATCAGAGGTGCTTACAGGCCCTAGAGAGATGCTGGGCTCAGGAAGGGAGAGCTGGTGAGTTCTCTGGGATACAGGAAGGATATGTTCTTTTTTTTTTTTAAGTTTTATTCATTTATTTATACAAGCACTGGGTACAGTCACAAGCGCGGGAGGGTGAGAGAATTCACCAGAGCCAGAGCGGGGAGCAGAGCAGGCAGAAGGACCGAAGTACACTGCTGAGGGGAGCAGCGGGCGTGGCAGGAGAGGTCTGCGCACCATGTGGGACCCTCGCCAGCGGCCGGGGATAAAAACAGTGCTGTAGAGGCTACAGGCAGCTTCGCAGCCCAGTGCTCAACCGCTGCGCCACCAGAGAGGCCCGGGAAGGATATGTTCTTATTCACAATGCAAAGGTCACTTGTGTGAGATTGCCCATGTGCAGCTGGATGTGAAGGGCAGCAGGGAGTCGGGGCAAAGACTACCTTCCTGGCTGCAGCGGACACCCTAGGATGGAGCAGTAGAGGTGAGGGACGTGAGTGGATTCAGGGTTGGCCCATGTTTAATGGTGTTGGCAGTGACCCCAATGCATAATCACGCATTTCTATACTTGTATTAATCTACAATGACTTGAGGTGACTGACCACATACATGACCTAATCAATAGAGACAAATTATTTAAAAATCAACACGAGGAAAACACAGCTTTTCAAAATGGTTAGACTGGGGTGAAGCTGTTACAGGGCAGCCCCAGATATAAAATGGGTTGCCTGACTGTGGGTCCTCACCCACGCGCTTAAAGGGGACTAAAACTGCAGGCACACACTAAAGGTTAACAAGGGTTTATTTACAAGGGAAAGGGAAATGAGGGAATGTACAACTCTGGGAAAAAGAGGGAGATAAATTCTTAAATGTTTCCTACCCGTTCAGCCAACCTGGAATCCCAAATGACCCACCCAGACCAAACCTGCCTCACCAACAGCAAAAGCCAAGTGACTGAGACCCCACTAACGTGGTTTAAAATACCCAAACAGAGAAAATGGCTGCTTAACTCCACCCTTAGGTCCTCTCAAGTTCCCTTTGGGGATCATGGGATTTGTAGTTCCCAGTCTCTTGATGGAGTGGGGGTGGCATCCACAAAGCCTGTATGGAATTTGCCCAGGACATCCTTTCCCCCTAACAAAGCTAGGCAAGTAGGAAATCTGAAACATTTGTGGAAACGGAGAGTTTACTGTTTACCCAGCCATGGATTTTATTGCTTTAAAATCTCTTATGGGGGCCTCCCTGGCGGCGCAGCTGGTTGAGTCAGGGCTGTGAAGCTGTCCGTAGCCTCTGCAGTGCCGTTCCATCCCCGCTGGCCGTGGAGCAACCCACATGGAGCAGCAGACCTCTCCTGTCTCGCCCACTGCTTCCCTTAGCAGTGTTTTTCGGTCAGTCTGCCTGTTCTGTTCCCCGCTGTCTCTGGTGAATTCTCTCACCCTCCTGTACATCTGGCCTATTCCCCGGTTCTTGTATAAATAAAATGAATCTTAAAAAAAATATGTAATTGTTGGGCCTCCCCGGTGGCGCAGCGGTTGAGCCCTGGGTTGCGAAGCTGCCCGCGGCCGCGGCCTCTGCGGTGCCGGTTCGATCCCCGGCTGCTCCCCGGACACCAGAGGAGGGTCCCACATGGCACACAGACCTCTCCTGCCGCCCGCTGCTCCCCTTAGCAGTGTACTTCGGTCCTTCTGCCTGCTCTGCTCCCCGATCTGGCTCTGGTGAATTCTCTCATCCTCCCATGCTTCTGACTGTACCCAGTGCATGTATAAACAAACAAACAAACAAATAAAAATACATGCCTCTTTAAAAAAAAAATGTAATTGTTATGAGGCTACCCAATATTTAAAATAAATAAATCAATAAAATCTCTTATGATTCTTGAGCCAGAAGGTGGGGTCACAACTCAGGTCACCCTGTTTCTTGCTTTAGGAAGAGTTTAGATTCTACAATTAAAGTCAAAGCAAATTATTCGTCAGTGTTCAAAGATGGAGTCAACATCTGCATCATCAGTGATTAAGTTTAAACCTTGAGGGACCCAAGGAGATTCCACATTTCCCCCTGGAGGTGGCATCACTGCGCTGCTGGGCGAGAGGGTCTCTCTGGGCCAAATGGAGTGGTTCTTTCTACCTCCAGCCCCTTCAGTCTACAGCCAATGCAGTGATCTTATCTGAGCTAGGATTGTGGTTTTCTGATGTCAGTTGTATTTGAGCCATCGCATGGGTAACAATGGGACATGGGGTTTTGTTACACTGATATTCTGTGACGGAATCCAACATGCACCCGGTGGCTCTGCTGTTCCTGCCTGGTCCCAGGAGGAAAGGGACTTGTCCTGACCACTGTGCAGTATCCCTTTGTGTAGAAGTGATCAGTAGATGTGGGGTCAGGGGCTCTCCAAACTCACCCTCCTCTCCAAAGCAGCCCCAAATATGGGGGGTGGGCAGGGATCTCTGCAACTACTCACCAGATATCATTGTCCCATCTATTGACGTTAAGCCACGTGTTCACGTAACACCAACTGTTGCCTGCGGTGCCAAGGTGAGAGTCTAGGGGAGGGGTCGGATGGGGCTGGGGTCTAAAGTGGGAGCCATGGTGTAAGGGGGCAGGATGGCCACAGGGTAGGTTTTCTATGACCTGTGTAGACGGGGTAAAGGAGAAGTCCTGGAGCCCTGGGTGGCTTTTGCAGGCTTTTATTGGGATTTACCAGGCACATGGCAGGCAGGGGTGCTAGCAAGCCTTCACTCTGGGCTCTCTGATGTTCTCTGGTGGTTGTTTCTGCTTCTGCTTCTGCTTCCACTCTTCTCTCTCCTAACTCTCTTCTTTACTGCTTCTCTTGTTGACTATCTCGATACTACTCCTATGGCCCACAGAAGTAAATAAGACAATTTGCAACAATGTAACAACTGCAGATGCCCCATCAGGCAGGGCAATCCTAATGGTGGGAGGGCGAAAAGCCTGAAAACCATTTACCAAACAATTTACCCTACACATGGGTGTCCTGCAGGGGTTCTCTGTCATCTTTGTCTTGTTTCCTGAAATTTGTAGGAAATCATACTCAACAAAATGTCTTTGAAGATGGCCAGGAAATTTCACGGCAGGTTGGTGAGGGGAAAGGATGCAGAAGTGGAGACAAGGTGTGGGCTGGCAGCAGGTGGAGGGCATGCAGGACCAGGGGGGCCTGATGGAGGGAGCCCTGCCTCACTGTGGGGAATACCCAGGCCCTGGAGGAATGGGGAGAGTGGCTAGATCCCCTGAAGCCAGAGTCTGGTTCAAAACCAGAGTTGTCTCTTTGTTTTGTTTTAATTTCCAGATTGTAGGGACAGGATGGCCACTGAGCAGGTTTCCTATGATTCGAGCAGACAAGACGGGTAAAGGAGAGTCCCATAGCCTTCGGTGGCTTTCTCAGGCTTTTATTGAGCTTTTCCATGTAGAGCAGCAACTAGGTACACGGGCAGGCAGGGGTGCCAGGAGGCCAGTAAGACTTCACTCTGGGGTCCTTTCTCCCCTTCTCTCTCTTGCCTCTCCCTCCTGCTTCTCTTGGAGAGTATCTCAATACTGCTGCTATGGCCCACAGAAGTAAACACCCTAACTTATAACGCTGTAACAACTGCAATTGCCCCACCAGAGGGCAGAAAAGCCTGAAAATCATTTACCCTACACAGATGAATCTGCAAACCCATCAGAGTGGAAGATGAAAAGTCCACTTCCAAGGTGTGTTTTACAGTTTCCTCCCAGTGTGGGGTCAGCAGTGGTACCTGCCAGGAGCAGCCAAGGTTATGGCCTCAGGCCTGCCCAGGCCCACGCTGTCCACTCCAAAGAAGAGGAATGTGGGGGGTGTAGGGTAAATGGTTTTCAGGCTTTTTGCCCTCCCACCATTAGGATTGCCCTGCCTGATGGGGCACCTGCAGTTGTTACATTGTTGTAAGTTGTGTTGTTTACTTCTGTGGGCCATGGGAGGAGTATTGAGAGAGTCACCAAAAACAATGAAAGGCGGGGGGGGGGGGGGGGGGGGGGGGGGGGGGGGGGGGAGAGAAGCCTAGAGTGAAGACTTTGTGGGGGGCCTGGAGGCCTCTGCCCCCTCCCCCTCACCTGCGTGTACCTGGTTGCTGTTCCACATGTAAAGCTCAATAAAAACCTGAAAAAGCCACGGAGGGCTCCAGGACTCTCCTTTACCAGGTCTGCTGAATCATAGATAATCTGCTCTGTGCCCATCCTGGCACTACAGGGGGCTTCGGGCCTTCTTATTTCCTTCTTCCTTTCTGGGCCCTTTTTTGTGTTTCCTCAGCTCCCTGCTGCTGCCCCAACCTTCGCTGGAGCAGAGAGAACACAGCTGCCACTTTGGCTGGGAAGCCCCTTTGAGCCTCAGACTCAGGAGTGCAGTTTCTCTGTGCGCCATATGAGGGGGCTTTGCTCAGATGGGCTGGATGGTCTCACAGACACTGCCATTGCCCATACATTCTGGAAACTTCTTTACATCAGAAAATGTGCTCCATGGTCAAAAAATGGCAGACCATGATTGAAGCTCATGTTGATGTCAAGACTACGGACGGCTATTTGCTTCATCTCTTCTGTGTTGGTTTTACTAAAAAACACAACAATCAGATTCGGAAGACCTCTTATGCTCAGCACCAACAGGTCCGCCAGATCCGGAAAAAGATGATGGAAATCATGACCCAAGAGGTGCAGACAAATGACTTGAAAGAGGTGGTCAATAAATTGATTCCAGACAGCATTGGGAAAGACATAGAAAAGGCTTGCCAGTCTCTCTACCCACTCCATGATGTCTTTGTTAGGAAAGTAAAAATGCTGAAGAAGCCCAAGTTTGAATTGGGAAAACTCATGGAGCTTCATGGTGAAAGCAGTAGTTCTGGAAAAGCTACTGGTGATGAGACAGGTGCTAAAGTTGAACGAGCTGATGGCTATGAACCACCAGTTCAAGAATCCGTTTAAAAATCAGACTTTGATGACAAAAAGTCAAATTTGTGATGTTTCAAAAAAAAAAAGAAAGTATCATTCTTCAGACTTGCGCTGAAATCCTTCAAGATTTTGCAAGGGCAAATCGATCCTCAAGGAACACGATTTGGCCTGTCTGTAAGCCAAGGACAATGCCACAACATGTATTTGAAGTTGTCTGAGTTAAGCGAGGCACTGTCCTGCTGGCCCACAACTCTTTCTTTTCATTATACCTGCTCCTTCTATAAATATTTGATTGCATGTCTGCCTAAATCACCTAAGAAAGATTTAATGGTGTTAAAATGTGAAGGATTATCTTCAAAGAGAAAGGGTCTGGTATTAAATTTTAGTGAAAAAAATTTTTTTATGTATTTTTTAATGATTTATTTATATATATGCATACAAGCACTGGGGTACAACCAGAGGTGTGGGGGGTGAGTGGATTCACCAGAGACAGAGCGGGGACAGAACAAGCCGATGGACTGAAATACGCTGCTGAGGGGAGCAGCGAAACAGACAGGTGTGAGCTGCTCAGCTCTCTGAATGGGGATCTAACTTGTCTGTGAAAGGATTGGCGCTGTAAAGAAAAGACAAGCCAGGCTAAGTTTCTCACAGGCAGGAAATTTATTGTGCTCCTGGGGGAGGTTCGCCGACCCCTTCGGGGGGGGTCAGAGAAGTTGCACCTGTTGGGGGAATAAGGGCAAGCTTTTATAGGGTGGAGCCTGGCTTTGGTGGGAAGGGAGTTGAAGTTGCTTTTTATTTTACTTTTACTTAATTTTTTATCATTTTATTATTATTATTTTTTATTTTTTAAAGATTTATTTCTTTATACAAGAGCTGGAGTATAGGCTAGCGGCGTGAGGGCAAGAGAGTTCACCAGAGACAGAGTGGGGAGGAGAACAGGCAGAGGGACAGAAACACTGCTGAGGAGAGCAGTGGGGAGACAGAAGTCTGCTGCTCCATGTGGGAATGTCCTTGCAGACCGGAAATTGCAGAGGTTGGGAACAGCTTCACATCGCTGTGCTCAACCCTCTGCGCCACCGGGGAGGCCCCCACACAGTTGCTTTTTAAAGAAGTTTTTTCTTTCGGAAATGGTTGTTCTTTCATAGCTGCTTATCAGGCCCCGTGCAAACTGGGCAGAGCTGGCTCCCGGTTTCCAGTTCCCTTTTTCTCCGGCCTCATCTCTGCCCCGGCCTAGACCTGACAATCTCCAGTGGCTGTGGATAGCTTCATAGGTTGTGTGCACCACCAGGGAGGCCCAACATTCTGGTTTTTAAGCACCTGTCAGAGTTTAGGGCACTAGCTTCATATTTTCCACCAAACATTGTCTCTTCCTCACTCCCTCCCTAGGAAATCCAAATTTACATTAAGAGATAAAACACATTTCACACCAACTGTAGGTCACTAAGTTATCACCCCCTGGAGATATCACTGTCAAAGCCCTGTGAATTTTCTTCCAAGTTTTCTTCTTTAAAATACATATTGCAGGTCCTCCCCGGTGGCCCAGCGGTTGAGCGCTGGGTTGCGAAGCTGCCCGCGGCCTCTGCGTCGCTGGTTCGATCCCCGGCTGCTCCCCGGCCACCGGAGGAGGGTCCTACATGGCGTGCAGACCTCTCCTGCCACCCGCTGCTCCCCTCAGCAGTGTATTTCATCAGTCTGCCTCTTCTGTTCCCTGCTCTGGTGAATTCTCTCACCCTCCCGCACTTCTGACTGTGCCCAGTGCATGTATAAACAAAACAAACAAACAAATAAGTAAGTAACATGCCTCTATTAAAAAAAAGAAAGACATTACATTGCATCTGATAAAATATTGTTTACCTAAACAAATTTAAATGTTTCGTTGATGGCGCGCACCTGGACGGTCAGGTGGGGACACGGGCCCGCGCTCACCCCGCGGCTTGGCCCGCGGGGAAGGCGCCGCCGCCCTGGCTCGGGGAGGCCCAGTCTGGGGGGGGTCACCCCGGGTCTCGTCACGTTCCTCCCCGAAGTGGGGAGACCCCCGGGGGGTTCCCCGGATCTGCCCGTCGCTGTCCCTCCGGGCGGCGGAGCCCCTCCAGGGGCGGCCCGGGCGGCGGGGGTCCGGGAAGGGTTTTCGGGGGCACGTGGGCAGCGAGAACCGTTTCCTCGTGCGGGCCCCGGAATCTGCCTGAAAGAGGCGCCCCCAGGACCCCCTCCAGGCCCCAGGACCCCGGCCCGGGCTGCGCAGTGTCGCGACTGGTGGGAGGGACAGCCCCGCGGTTTGCGGACCAGACACCCGAGGGCCGCGCGCCCCTCCCCGCCCGGCTCCAAGCGCCTCCCTCTGCTTTTGTGGAAAAAAATAACCGGTTTCCTTCCGCCGCGCTTGGGGGCGGGCGCTCCCCAGCCCTCACTGCAATCGTGGCTCAGCGCCCGCCGCTCTCCAACCCCGCCCCGGGGCATTAGGTTCCTGCGCAGTTGGTCTCATTTTCTAAAACAGGGTACGCCCGGGGTGCGACGAGGTCTTCGCGGAGGGGAAGAGCCCCCGAGCTCGTGACTCCAGGAGCCCAGTGGTGAGCGGAGGAGAAAAAGGCGCCCGGAGGGCAGCCCAGAGGGGCCTGGAGGCAGGTGGGGGAGGGGAGTCGTTTGTAGGACAGAAAACCTCTGAGGCCTCGCGGGGGAGGGGAGCCCCAGCTCGATCCCGGGGAGCGCCCCCAATCCAGAGCCCTAGACCCGCGGGGCCTCCCCCACCCTCCCAGAGGAGTAGGATTTGCTTCCACTCGTAAAGCAGCCATCTGTGACACGGTTGCCCGCACACCTGACAGTGTTATTGGTCCTGATGTCGTTTTTGGAGTCAGGGGGTTTGGAGTGCGGGATCCTGGGGTTCACTCTGGGAAAGGTGTCACCAGAGTTCCCGTTTAAGGCCCGGGGCGAGTGTCCCAGGCGAGTTTCTCCACGAGACAGACACGGTAGTGATATTTAAAGGCATGTTATTTGGTACCTGAATTCTTAACACTGTATTTCCGTATAAGTGGTGACTTTTTGTTTTCATGTCTTTGATCTGGTTTTGTTCCTGTAATACAGCCACCCAATTTTGTGAGGCGGGGGTGGGGGGATGGGGGTGGGGATAATATGTGTTTTTTGTACAAATGTGTTTCTCATTGTGTTATTTTGGAAAAATGAAGGGAGTTTTGAGATATTGGAGGAAATTGATCAAGAAGACCAAATCTCCCTCTTTTTCACTGAATAAATAGAGCATCATTTCTGGAAAAAAAAAAAAAAAAAAAAAAGGCATGTTATTTGGGAAAGGGACAGAGGAATAAAGGACACTTGCATAGACACGAGCGGGCAGGAAGAGCTGCCCCAGAAGGGACAGGTTTGCTGAGAGAGGCCTGCCTGGTTGCAGAGGGGCGGCCTTGACAGGTCACGGACAGGCAGGAGGCTGCTGCCCTGGGGATGGAGAGAGTGGGTGAAAAGAAGCACCTGCATCGTCACAGGTGGGCAGTGGGAGTGCTGCCTGGAGCCTGTGCAGAGACTGCACTGATACAGTCCTTTTCTCTTTGGAAGGGCTCACTCCTCCCTGGAGTGGCCTGTTTATTGCTGGTTTTGGATAACTAGGCAAAACTAGAAAGGGACCAGAGATTCCAGAATGGGCCCATCTCCAGTATTACCATTTTTAAATTATTATTTTTTTAATTATATTTTTGCATAGAAGACCTAGGGTGTAGGTCAGAGGTGCAGAATGTTAGAGGATGGACCAGGGACAGTTGGGGAGCAGAACAGACGCATCTTCTGAAATAAACGGCTGAGGGGATCAGGGGGCCAGTCAGGAGAGGTCTGCTGAGCCATGTGGGTCAGCTTTCTGGGAGGAGGGGATCAACTCAGGCCCTTGATAGCACTGAAACCCTAGGCCTCCCGGGAGGTTCCATTTTTAAATTATTACAAGTCTTTTTGGCGTTGAGTGTAAGCGGAATGAGTTTCCTGGCGCTGCCATCCCTAGGAAGTCCTGAGAAGGGAGGTGGACACGGTCACTTTTGGAGGTTAGGAGGGCTTGGGCTCCCTCTCCACTGCCTCTGTCCCTGTTGTGGCAGTTTGCTGGAGCATCTAGACTGCACTGAGAGGTGGGGGAGAGAGGGAGAGATTTATTCATCATAATGGAAGACAAGAATAGGAAAAAAAAATCTGAAAAGGAGGTGTGCCACAAACCAGAAACCTGGCTCACACAAGGAGGTGGGGGTAGAAGATAGGAGCATAGCCATTGACACAGCTATGGAAACCGAGATACTTACGCACAGACAACACAGTTATAGAAATTAAGATCCTTAAGGGATCCTTAGACACCTACATTACAAAGCATAACATCCAAGCAGGCATCCTAATGCGCATCCAAAGGGAAAGATATAGAAATTGAACCTGTTAGGGGGAAAAGGATGTCCCAAAGCTAATTCCATATAGGCTTTGTGGACTCCACCCCCACCCCAGGTCAAAGCCAAAGACACTGGGAACTCCAAATCCCATCACCACCAAAGGGAAGGTGGCTGGGACCTGAGGGTGGGGTTAAGCAGCCAGGTGGATACAAAAGGCAGACACGTGGGCTTTGGGGACCCCCCATTTTTGGCTCTCCGCCAGCTCGCAGCGTCTAGCCAGCTCTGAGAGTGACTTTGGGTTTCCAGGTCGTCGGATCGGGTAGGACGCATTAAAGACTTTATTTCCCTATTTTCTCCCTGAGTTGTACATTTTCCTTATTTCTTTTTCTCTTGTAAATAAACCTTTTATTAACCCTTTTGTGTGTGTGTCTGTAGTAGAGTATTCATAAGTCCCTTTAAAGCGCGCGGGTGAGGACCCACAGCCAGGAACCCGTTTAATATCGGGGTTGCTCTATAACAGCTGCCCACGTGTCTGCCTTTTGTATCCACCTGGCTGCTTAACTCCACCCTCAGGTCCCAGCCACCTTCCCTTTGGTGGTGATGGGATTTGGAGTTCCCAGTGTCTTTGGCTTTGACCTGGGGTGGGGGTGGAGTCCACAGGCCTATATGGAATTTGCTTTGGGACATCCTTTT